GAGGGAAAACACAGTAACATCTAATATCTCTTACGTGAAGACATTATGAGTGGAGAACGATCACATAGATGTCAGATACTGGCCATCTCAGGCATAGAGAGATGGTGAAATGTAATAGATCTTTGGGCTGTTAGTGACATTTTAGCTAGTATCACAAACCAAGAGACCAGCCTCACCATCTATCTTTATAGTATACGGTGATCCAGAATATAACCACGAGTAAAAAATAAATAAAATTTTGGTGAACTATAACAAATAACCTGGAAAAACTTAAATGAGCTTTATCTAACAATCCAGAGTCTTCTTCCAACAACTTTTCCTTAAATTTTCAAAGTTAAGATTTTCACATAATTCAAGTCAGAATGAAATGAGGGGATCATTTTCACTGGGGTAACTTCTCACCATCCTAAATCTTCTATTCCCAAAATTAAACTCTAATAAAGCTTGTTCAAAATACTTATTTTTTAAAATCCCCAGGCTAAAGGAATCAAAATAGCATTAGAAATGTTTATACTTCCCAACCCTCTTTTCTCAGGAAAGAGATAGGGCTGCCAACAGCATAATCAGCAAGAAGGAAGGCCCAATGAAATTATGGGTGCAATACAAGACCCACCCCCCCAAATCTTCAAATTCAGCAATCTTATTAAATAAACAACATATTTAATGGGGGAAAATAGGAGAGCAACAGAGGAACACCAACTTTGCCCCAGAGTTATGGTCTGCCTCTGCAAGAAAGTAATTCAAGAGATTAATTCACTACTGAGGTGAAACACTTGATAATTTTTTTTCTCCCTCATTTGCTCCTTTACTGTCCTTTGCTGTCCAAAAGACCTTTCATAAGGTTTATGTATAGTTGTCAGATTTTGAGCTGTACTCTTATAGTAGGAAATTAAATTGCAAAACAACCTCCCCCCATCACCACTGCAAATGCTTGAATTTGTTCTTACAAAATGATATCCTTTTAAATATGTTTTCCTCCAATGTGACTTGTTGCAAGGAATTTTTCTAGTGAGAAAAGCCACATATCAGTTTCTTTCCCTGCCTTTGGAAATGTCTTTGCTAATAGAGATGCTTGAAATGACCTTAGTGTCAAGTTGCACCTGGTGGCCCAAGAAAATTACCTTCGACCTGGATCTCAGGAAAAGGAAGATGCACTGAGCTTGAGTTAATTTCCAAGGTAACAATATACATTCCAGAGACTTAAGCAAAAATGTTTGTGGAAGATCTAAAGGAGCCTCTCAATTCAGCCTAAGTTCAAACATACGCTCATCTTTTTTTTTTTTTTTAAAGATTTTATTTATTTATTTGAGACAGAGAGAATGAGAGAGACAGAGAGCACATGAGAGGGGGGAGGGTCAGAGGGAGAAGCAGGCTCCCTGCCAAGCAGGGAGCCCGATGCGGGACTCGATCCTGGGACTCCAGGATCATGACCTGAGCCGAAGGCAGTCGCTTAACCAACTGAGCCACCCAGGCACCCAAACATACGCTCATCTTATATTATCAGGCTCTGGCTTTTCCTTTGAAAGTATGAACCGAAATTCAATTCCTGTGCAAATTAATTGTAAACATTTATGATTACCAGAATTTCTCAACCAACCACATTTTGAAGTATGAAGTCAAGTAGAACTAAGAATCTTCACAAATATTGACATGATTGGGCTACTTATATTTAATCCCCAGATTGAGAATGTTTTTACCTTGCTGACCAGAGCTATTGATTGAATCAATCAAAATTTTTATACAAATGTATAAAAATTGCAAATAAGATTCCTCAAGGAATTTACAGTGGAGGTGGGGAGATGAGTCTATCACACATGAAACAACTAGGGAATAATATGAGTCAATATATTAAGTATACTCAGAAGACAACTTTATATGGAATGAGAAAAGTGGAAGACAAAGTATCAAAGTCTTCATGGAGGTGGGAGAAATGCTACATATAGAAAGATTATTAAGATTTGTATAAGTAGAAGGGCAAGGAAAAAGGGAGATGAGAGACCATTTGTTGAGGTAACTACCCAAAGCTATAATCTTTTTAAGTTGTATTTTATTGATTCTAAGAAAATAAAGACCTTAAATTCCTAAGATCTTATTTTACATTTTAATGTCTCAGAAACTAGGATGCAGATTCCTATCAATAACATGTCATAGTCTAACTGGCACTGATTTTCTATCATGATGGTACCATCATGGTCCTCAGTGGTTTGTCCTTTGGTTGATAATATCTTATATGCAAAGATACAGAGAATGTATAAACATCTTATAACCTAAATCATAGAAGCAGTGAAGATCGAACTGATCTTTTGAATAGCACTGTAAGGCTACAAGATCCTGGTTTGTGATTTCTTTTTCTTTGATTCCACTACATTCAAACCTGATTTCAGCACCTATAACAAGGAGGAATGTGCTAGTTATTAGCTTATTGCCTCTCAGTTCCAAATCAACCCTTCATTGGCTGCTTGTGATACTGAAACATTTCTCCCTTGCCAGTTGGCACAATACTGACTCTGTCAATAGAGGACATACGAGGGACCCTGGAGGAGAAGGTTTTTTTCCTCCTGGTTCTGGTATGTTAATTTTTCTTGCACTGGGCTGGTAGTCAGGACGCCCAGTGAAATTCACTCCAAGCAGCTACCTGCAGAAGAACATTTTACAGGTCCTCCAGCTGGCTCCCTGAAAGTGAATTCTATGGGGTACCCAGCTGGTTTCATAGTCTCTTCCTAGTGACAGAATCCTAGTGATGGCTTCCCAGTAAATTCAATACCATCCTCCTCCCCTGGGAAGCTTCCTGGTAAATATCATTGACACCCCAACAGACAGTTTTCTTCTTTGGGATTAAAATGGACCCCATACACCAAGAGGGAAAACCTGATAGCTATTCTCAATCAGCTTTCTCAGTTAAAGCCCACCAGTGAGAGCCAAGTTAAGTGTGTGTTTGGGTTGGGGTTGGGGTTGTAGGATAAGGAGCAGTATGAGTTGACTAGGAAAAGGAAGAAGTTAATGAAGGGATATATATGCATGATTGTCAAGGTGTTTCTAATGATCTTAAAACAACTAGAAAGCCCTTCTCTCTCAACCTCTGTGCTCAGAGATGAACCTCATTATCAGAGCAATCATTATCTTTCAATCCTGATCCTACACAGAAGCTATCCTGATGCATTCAGATACAGCATAAAAGATCCTTCAACCAATAGCAAGTTTTTTCAGCATGCCAAGAAACATTCAGATGTTTCCAAAAAAAAAAAAAACAAAAAAACAGGTATTTAACATTGGAGACATAAAACAGTTGCCTGACAGTTGATTTAATGTTTCTTTTTTTTTTTTAATCCAGATGTTTTAGTATCTCATACACACTTTCTAACTATTTTGGTGCAATATTTCTTTGTACAGCTTGGCATTTTGAAGGTTGTATTGTTTTAACATTGAAAAGTACAATAAATACGACAGTAAGAAATGATTTTTGCTTCCAACTGAAAAGTATAATGAGCAGATTCATGGCTTTAAAGAGAAAGAAAAGATTAGCACAGGTAAATTACTAACTAAACTTTATTTTAAAAAATCATTTTCCTCCACACTTAGACTTTAACTTTCCCTTGTATTTGCAGATTAGAATGTAAGATAGCTAAACTTCAGCTGAAGGACGTTATAAGGCATTCTAAAGTTTTAGGTTACTTTCATAAAACAGGCCCGTCCTTATTTATCACTTTAAAAATAGTATAGGGATGCCTGGGTGGCTCAGTCAGTTAAGCGGCTGCCTTCAGCTCAGGTCGCGATCCCAGAGTCCTGGAATCGAGTCCCGCATCGGGCTCCCTGCTCTGCGGGAAGCCTGCTTCTCCCTCTCCCACTCCTCCTGCTTGTGTTCCCTCTCTCACCATCTCTGTCTCTTACAAATAAATAAATAAAATTTTTTAAAAATTTAAAAAATGAAAATATTATATAAAATAAGTCTAAATTTCCTTAAAATTCTAAAACTCTCCCTGAACGTGAACACTCTTTAATCTTAAAAATAAAATTCTAGCTCTTTTCGTGCCTAGCGCAGCCATGGCTCGTGGTCCCAAGAAGCATCTGAAGCGTGTAGCAGCTCCAAAGTATTGGATGCTGGATAAACTGACCAGTGTGTTTGTTCCTTGCCCATCTACTGGTCCCCATAAGCTGAGAGAATGTCTCCCTCTCATGATTTTCCTAAGGAACAGACTTAAGTATGCCCTAACAGGAGATGAAGTAAAGATGATCTGTATGCAGTGTTTTATTAAGATTGATGGCAAGGTCCGAACTGATATAACCTACCCTGCTGGTTTTATGGATGTCATCAGCATTGACAAGACCGGGGAGAATTTCCATCTGATCTATGACACCAAGGGTTGCTTTGCTGTTCATCGGATTACACCTGAGGAGGCCAAGTATAAGTTGTGCAAAGTGAGAAAGATCTTTGTGGGGACAAAAGGAATCCCTCATCTGGTGATTCATGATGCTTGCACCATCCGCTATCCTGATCCCCTCATCAAGGTGAATGACACCATTCAGATTGATTTGGAAACTGGAAAGATTACTGATTTCATCAAGTTTGATACTGGTAATCTGTGTATGGTGACTGGGGGTGCTAACCTGGGAAGAATTGGTGTGATCACCAACAGAGAGACACCCTAGTTCATTTGATGTGGTTCATGTGAAAGACGCCAACGGCAACAACTTTTCCACCCGACTCTCCAAAATTTTTGTTATTGGCAAAGGCAACAAACCATGGATTTCTCTTCCCCATGGAAAGGGTATCCGCCTCACCATTGCTGAAGAGAGAGACAAGAGACTGGCGGCCAAACAGAGCAGCGGGTAAAATGGTCCCTAGGTGACGTGATTGGAAGACTTTATACTTTATTACAGGTCATAAAGCATGAATGAATGAATGAATGAATGAATGAATGAATGAATGAATGAATGAATGAATAAATAAATAAATAAATAAATAAATAAATAAATAAATAAATAAATAATGAAATTCTATTCAGCATGTTTCCCAGGGCCATGGCCCATTGTGGCCATGGGTTCTCCAACCACATGCAGGAGCAGCCTGGAGAGACTTTGACAGCACAAGTCAGCCTATACCCGCAACTGCCACTCACCTTGCCTAGAACAGCTCAGGACGTGGGCTGGAAGCTGAGTATCTGAGTCCAGGTGTTTCCATAAACTTCCATGTAGATGCGTGTATTAGAACACCTTTTCGGTTTAGAGCAAAAAAGTAAAATAAAATAAAATTCTATTTTACTCACATTATCCTCCTTCAAATGGATAGTTGACTTAGTCATGAATTGCCTTGCATCTGTCTGACACATTTTTTTTTTCATTTCCTGGATGAATTTTTTTGTAAATGGAATTTGTGTCAGGGTATCATCTCTGGCCCTTTCATATCCTTATTCCCTTTTCTTTCCCTTTATTTCTTGAAGCCAAAGATAGAAGAACTCAAAAAAAGACATAGGAGTTTGAGCAAAAGGCCTGCTTATATTGAACAAGAAGATATCATTCAGATAGTCTAAAGATAAACTCAGGATGGTTATTTTATCCATTCTCGTGGGGGCCATTTTCAGCCCAGAGCCAAGGACAGAAGCAGAGGCTCAAACTCTGGTTTTATTGTGTTCAGTGTGTTTTGGATGCACTAAAGCAGCAAAATGTAGGCTAATCATCCCCAGCTGGAAGTGACTGGAGAAAGGAGTCAAAATCCAGAAATTCATCTTACACACACACACACACACACTTTGTCATATATTCATAAGGTTATTCACATATATAATTCCATTTAAACCTGTACTATATTATCAATCCTGCCAAGGCTGTGATAGAGACATTCCAATGCTCTAAAAACACATATGAGGACAGAGCATCCTCTTCCACCGCTCTTCCTAACAAGAACAATGCTGATTATTCTCTGAATGTGAGCTATGCAAAGGATGCACCCTACCAGCTGGTGCACTTGTTAATGAATATGTTGCCATCACAGAAAAAAACAATGGGAAAGAACCTTAGAGAACACCTAATTCCTCCATGAAAGCTGGAAAATGAAAGGTAAATGGGAGTGGATGACTTTCCCAAGGTCTCCCCAGGAAATCAGTGGCATAGCAAGAAGCAGAATGTCTCTAGTCCCTGGCTCTTTTGTAACACAAAGTACCTTGGCCAACTGGCTTTTAGTTGAAACTAAAAATGTGCTCTATTTTCCTTAAGTAATGTTAATATCATCCAAGGATTTTCTCCTACCTTATTAAGATAAATCTCAAAAAATATTATTTTGTCAAACAATTTAGATTTATTTAGATTTAGATTTCCTGATCACCAATAAGGAAATGATGAGGTGTGCTCATATTCATGAACGGAGGAGGAGGAAAGATGAAATGTGGTCAATGACTTCTGATGGTAAAAAATATGAACAAGCTTGAGATTACAGATGCAGAGTTTCTGGAAAGTCCCAGGACATCCCTTGTCTATTGAAGTAGAAATCCCACTATTAATGTCTACTTTGAGATATCTAATCCATGCCACAATCAGAATACTTTCTTATGGGCAGAGAGGTTCACAGGAATCAGGAGGTTCGTGAGGTAGCACTATGTGTTACAGCCCTGCACCCTTGAGCAATTAAGAAAGGATAAATACTACCTGTACACAAATATAGCTAAAATAAGGCAGCAGCATGAGGTCATGTCCTAAGTACATTTCACTTACAGATGACTTTAGAAAGGCCTTCCCTCTCCCCCCAACCCCGCTCCCCCCAATACACAAAAAGACACACACACACACACACACACTATTGCATTCAATATCTACAACAACAAACAAATCCTTTAACATGTATTAATGTTAGAGAGACTGGCCAACCTAACAAATTGAATATACCCATGAAGCAAGTAGGAATACTTAGAATTCTCCACTGATACCCAATTCACTACCAGGGACTTAACAATGATCTCAAAGCACATTTGCTGGCACACCCAAACTTCTGTTATGGACTCTTCTTTTGTTCATCCTTTTAGTCTAGATCAGGGTGTGTCAAATATTAGTACCCATAAGAATTATTTGTTACAAACTTTAAAAATATATTATAAATATAAAACTATGTATACCATACTTTATAGACAAATTTAAGATTTTCAAGGGCAATTTTGACCATGTGCAATTTTGTCTTATACCTTAGACTTTGAAATCCCTGCTCCAAGTAAAATGCAACTCGATCACCTGAGCAGGTGGAGCCAAGGCTGGAAATGTGAGCCATGACATGGGAGCCTTACCATCCAGGTCGAGGTGTCCACATTTTGCCCATAATGCTGGGGGAATCATGAAGACTGTTGAGCAAGCAAGTGACACGGCAAAATGTGTTTAAGAAAATTAATCTGTGGGCGCCTGGGTGGCTCAGTCGTTAGGCGTCTGCCTTCGGCTCAGGTCATGATCCCAGGGTCCTGGGGTCCAGTCCCACATAGGGCTCCCTGCTCAGCGGGAGGCCCGCTTCTCCCTCTCCCACTGCCCCTGCTTGTGTTCCTGCTCTCACTATCTCTCTGTCAAATAAATAAATAAAATCTTTAAAAAAAAAAAAAGAAAGAAAGAAAATTAATCTGGTGACTTTGGAAGAGAAGTACTGGAAGTGTGAAGTTGAGGGGAAGGCTAGAAGAAGGGTTACCAGCGTGCAGATCATTACAATGGTGTGGGCATGAGATAAAGAGGCCCTAAATGGGGACAGTTGTAGAAATGTACAAGAAGCAAGAAGCATTGCACAGGAAGATCCTGGTATCTGACTGGATATGAATGGAAATACCAATAATGTAGCATAGTTATTAAAAGCAAAGACTTTTCCATTTTACAGATCAGGATCAAATTCCAATTCCCACCACCATCTAGCTGTGTGATCACAAACTTTTACTTAAACTCCCTCTGATGATTCACTTTATGTATCAACATCACCAAGCCACTGGTTGTCCAAACATATGGGTTGTCTATGAGAGTGTCCCTGGGTGAAATTAATACTTGAATCTGTAGACTCAGAAAAGAGATTGCTCTCTCCTTAATGGAGGTGTGCCTCATCCAATCAATTGAAGGCCTGAATAGAACAAAAAGGCCAATAAGAGTGAACTCCCTGCCTGACAGCCTTGAGCTGGAACATTGTTTTTTTCCCAGCCTTCAGATTTGAAATGTAACACCAGCTCTTCTTAGGTGTTCAGCCTGATAATTTTCAGATGAGATCTACACATCAGCTCTCCTGGATCTCCAGTTTACCAGCTGCAGATCTTAGGACCTCAGTCTCCACAGTCACAAAAGCCAATTCCTTAGAATTAATATATTATAGGTACTTGGTATATATATGTATTATTCCATATATGTGTGTGTGTGTGTGTGTATGTGTGTATTTAATTGGCTCTGTTCCTCTACAGAACCTTGGCTAATACACTCACGTAGCTACATTTTCTTTATATGTACAATAGGCTCTATAAATTTACTCACAGTATTAGTATGAGGATTAAAATGAAGTAAGGTTGGGGAGTCTGGGTGGTGCAGTCAGTTGAGCATCCAACTCTCAGTTTTGGCTCAGGTCATGATCTGAGTTGTAAGATCAAGCCCCACATCAGGCTCCATGCTGAGCACAGAGTCTCCTTGAGTTTCTCTCTCTCCCTCTCTCTCTGCCCCTCCCCCCTGCTTGCACATTCTCTCTCTCTCTCTCTCTCTCTGAAATAAATAAATAAATCTTTTAAAAAATGAAGTAAGGTAGGTTTGTGTGGCATTAAAAAAATGTTTATGGTGAAAACAGAGCTTTTGAAAAATTAAGCTTGTTGAAGTGATGTAGAGTTACTTTAATCTGTAGGTTTCTTATGCAGTAAACAACTCCTAAGAGTATGTGGGGTTTAGGGGAGAGAAGAGCAAGCCAGATGTGTGACAAGCATTTCCATGAACCATGACTGTGCCCTGAACCATGCTTCGGGTTAATAAGGTCTTCAAGATAATTACAGAAGGATAGGAGGAAATAGCTTGTGATTGTGTAGTTGCGCTACAAAATGAATTGCAGGTGAATCCTGAAGCTGCTGGAAGGTGTACCACAACCTAACAGTGACCTCGGTTCAACAGAGTAGCTGCAGTGCCCCACCTACTGCCATGGATGGACTGTTTCCAAAACAACATCCAAAAGAGAAATTAAAAGGACTCTAAGAGTGAAAGCATTCAGGATAGAGAGAGCAAAAAGAATTTTTTAAGTATTTGAACTGAAAACCTCTGAAGCAAGAAAGTTTAATAAGGGTTTTGAGTTTCTGCCTGTGGGAACAATGAGTGGGGACCAATATAACTCTTTTCGAAAGCGCAGATTGCCATCATTAAAAAAAGAAAGCAAGAGAATATGAATGAGTCAGAATTTGGAGAGGGATTTTCTTAAATGTGACGAGATTATAAATTTTAGATTAATGAAATGTTAAGCCAGTGAATAATTTAGCAACACAAGACTTCTTGAATGAGCAGAAAAAGATGATAAATAAAATTGATATTCTAGTATAATATAACCCTTTTGGAGCATTAATAACAATTATACTTTGGGGGTAAGGGGGATATGGGAGTTGCTGTTGAAAGGATATAAAGTTTCCTTTGTGCAAGATGAATAAATTCTAGAGATCTGCTGGATAACATCATGCCTATACTTAACAATACTGTATTGTGCACTTAAAAGTTTGTCAAGAGGGTAAATCTCATGTTAAGTGTTCTTACAATTAAAAAAATTACACTCATTATGGCAGTGTGGGGAAATAAAACAGGTAATTTTTAAACATCAATTAACTAATTAAATGTAGCAAAATTTTTTCCCAGTCTCAAATCATACCCATGAAAAGCAATAGAACATAGAAGATATTACTTGCAGAAGTTAACAAATGGTGTTTTTTGAATATTACTGAGTGCCCAATACCATCATGATCAGACTACTAAAATAACATTAAATAAAGCGCTACCTTACATTTGTGTGATGCCTCACCATTATCAAATCCCTTTCCTTTTGGCTTTACCCAGGTACCTCAAACCATTAATTGCCCACAGACTCCTTGTTCTCCTAAACTCTGACCTATGCTCCTTACTGATGACACTTTGTGACAATAGCTACCAATGAGTTTCATCAGCATTGGTTG